CATGACAGGCAGATTTTCCAACAACCAAAACTTCCATTCTCCCTCAAGATTTCTTAATAGACTATGCAAGAGACAAATTTGGTAAATGATGCTCTTAACATTTATATCAAGCACAGGACAAAACAGAAAAAAAAAAAGATTCTCAGAAAAGATGCTATTATAAATCAATCAACATGCATGTAAATGGGTGGCTACGTGAACCAGTGGATAGAGTGCCAGATCTGAAGTCAGGAAGATTCATCTTTGTGAGTTCAAATCCGACCTCGGACACTAGCTGTGTGTCCCTGAGCAAGTCACTTAACCCTGTTTGCCTCCGTTCCTCATCTGCAAAAAGAAATAGAGAAGTTAATAGCAAATGATTCCACATTAGTCTTTGTCAAGAAAAGACTAAATGGGATCAGAAGAGTCAGACATAATTAAAACAAGTGAGCAATGATATTCATTAAGCACCCACACCAAACATGTGCCAGGAACTTTTCTAGATTCTGGGAATATAAGTACAAAAAAATGAAACAATCTCCACTTGCAAGAAGCATACAATTCTAATACTGGAAATAACAGGCAAATGTAGAAATATATACAGCATTAATTGTTCAAATATGTGCAAAGTAGTTAAATACAATTTAGTTTCAAGGAGAGAGACCAGCATTTAGGAGCTGGGAGCTTCAAAAAAGGCTTCGTTCAGATGATGTTTAAGATACATCTCAAAGGACTGTATGAGGTAGAAGTGAGAAATGAGAATGAATTCTAAACATGTGAGAAGGTGGGATGACCAATGCAAAGCCAAGGAAATGACAGATAAGATGTCCTGTGTGAAGGACAGAGAGAAGACTAGTTTAGCTAGATCAGAATAGGGAAAGAACTGCCCAATGGGATAGGTAAGTTGGGGTCAAGTTGCGTGGGACTTTAATAGCTAAATAAAGGAATTTATACTTTATCCTATAGACAATAGGAGCCCATAGGGTTGTCTGAATAGAGAAATCTCATGGTTAGATGTTGCACTTAAGGAAAATTTCTTTGGCACTTAAGGATATACTGGATTCAGTGATGAAGCAGGAAGGTGAGTTAGAAGGCTACTGCAATCATCTAGGCAAGAAGTTATGAAGGCTTTAACTAAGGTAATACCGGTGTGAGCGGAGACAATCAGTCAGAAATGAGAGATATTGTGAAGTTATAGATGATAAGATTTGACGACTGATTGTACATATGAGCTGATGATGAGAACCAGGACAATGCCACGATTATGAACCTGGAAGACTAGAATCACCATGGTGCTATTGACAGAGACAGAACCTTTGAAAGAGGGGTGGGTCTTGGGGGAAAAGACAATCATTTTAGTTTGGTGAGTTTTAACAAGTCTCTAGAACATCCAGTTTGAAATGCCCAGTAGATGACGTAGTGCTGAAGCTAAACAGAGAGACTGAAGCAGAATACATAGATTTGACAGTTATGTGTGTAAGCTAAACCCTTGGGAGCTGATGAGGTTACCAAGAGAGCATAAAATAGTATAAATTAATATAGGGTAATCTAGAAGAGAAGAGGGCCTGGGCTAGAACCTCAGGGAAAATACACAACTAGGGATATGCTATAATGATATCTGAGATGATGAACCAGAAAAGAATCAATTAGATAAATAAGAGGAGAAATTTATATCACAAAAACCCAAGGAGGAGAGAAAGTAGTTAACAGTATCAAATGCATCAGAATGGTCAAGAGGGTTGAAAACTGAGAAAAGGCCATCAGATTTGGGAATTAAGAGATCATTTGGTAACTCTAGAAAGAGAAGTTTCAGTTGAGTGATGAAGTCAGAAGCCAAATTGCAAAGGGTTGGATGAGAAGAGTAGGAATGGAGATAGAAAGTAAAGAGAGGGGCAGCTGGGTGGTGCAGTGGATACAGCACAGGGCCTGGATTCAGGAGGACCTGAGTTCAAATCCTGCCTCAGACACATAACACTTACTAGCTGTGTGACCCTGGGCAAGTCACTTAACCCCGTTGCCTAGCCAAAAAAAAAGAAAGTAAAGAGAATTTTAAATAGGAGACTAGCTAAGAAAGAGAGAAAAGAGAGAGCAATAATTTGATGGCATGGTGGTTGACTGAAGGTTTTTTTTCATTTTGCTTTTAAGGATAGGGGACACTTGGACAAGTTTGTAGGAAGTAGGGGAAACAGCATTTGATAGGAAGATGCTGAAGATTAGAGAGAAGATTCCCAGAAGATCAGAGAGTGGTTCTGATTGCATTTAGGATCTGAACAGCTACTCTAGTGATCCACACTTCTCACTCAAAAAAAGAGTCCATCTTTTTAACATCCATATTCTAACACTGATGCTATACGGCTGAAAATAATGCAAGACTAAAAACTCGAAAGAAACAAAATTTCAGATCACCCAATGGTGGGTGTTAATAGGCCGTAGCCTACTTTTTAACTAAGTGTGAACAAGCATCAGTGTCAAAGATACTATCAAAAAAAAAGATGTATGGCCTAAAAAGAAGCTAATTTGGTCATTGAATAAGTGATGAATAATAGACAAATCATATCTTCTATTGTCATTTATATAATAAAAAGAGACCTAAAGGGAGGCTTCTAGTATGGGGGGGGGGATACTCTAAAGAATTTGTAAGAAGTTACTGGTAAGAGTTGCACAGGATGAGATGACATGAGTGTAATCTGTACTGTGAGGAGTACCTACCTTGATGAGATCACAGACCAACAAAGTATTGAAGGATAAGTATATTTCTTTAAAGAAAAAAATATATAATTAATTTTAGGGATATGGAACCTGTGATTTCATAAATGCAAGGAAATTCTGGTGTGGAAATGCTTTCACCTCATGAAGAACATCAACTGTGTAAATTATAATCTGAGGGAGTTGTCTAGTGCTTTGAGAAGGTAAATAACTTTCCCAAAGTCATAAAGATAAAATGTACCAGATTCAGTACCTGAATTCCATCCCTTAATAATTTAATAACTGCAAAGCTGCCCTTCTGTTGATTATACCATGGCTTTGTCTCATTTGAAATATATTTTTCAATTATTTCAATAAATTATTGTTCAAAAAAGCTTAATGTGGATTGATACTTGCTAGTATCAATAGTATAATACATATTTATGTATTAATATACATCTAGAAATTTTAGATGAATTTTTTGTAAACACAAATTTTTACAAGGTCAAATCAATCATCTCCCATGAATTAGCTACTTTGAATGGAAATGCCACTGAAATAAAACATTCCTCTAGAGAAATGCTGCTCTACTGAGAGTAGTTTAGGCAATTGGAAAACATTTCCATAAGCAATGAGCTGTTTTACTGTAGGGCAATGTTGGCTATAGAGAACTTTGCAATAACAGAATTTAGATACACAGATTTTATAGGGTCAAAAATCAAATCCTTCAAAGGATATGAGCAAGCAGTTCTCAGATGAAGAAATTAAAGCCATCTACAGTCATATGAAAAAATGTCCTAAATCACTATTGATTAGAGAAATGCAAATCAAAACAATTCTGAGGTACCACATCACATCTATCAGATTGGCCAACATGACAAAACAGAAAAATGATCAATGTTGGAGAAGATGTGGGAAAATTGGAACACTAATGCATTGTTGGTGGAGTTGTGAAATGACCCAACCATTTTGGAGAGCAATTTGGAACTATGACCAAAGGGCTATAAAAATGTGCATACCCTTTAACCCAGCAATAGCACTTCTAGGGCTGTATCCCAAAGAGATAATACAAATGGGAAAAGGACCCACATGTACAAAAACATTTATAGCAGCTCTTTTTGAGGTGGCAAAGAATTGGAAATTGAGAGGATGCCCATCAATTGGGGAATGGCTGAGTGAGCAAGTTGTGGTATATGAATGTAATGGAATACTATTGTTCTATAAGAAATGATGAGCAGGCAGACTTCAGAAAAACCTGGAAAGACTTGTATGGTCTGATGCTGAGTGAAGTAAGCAGAACCAGGAGAATGTTGTACACAGTAACAGCCACATTGTGTGATGACTAATATTGATAAACTTAACACTTCTCAGCAATACAAGGATCTAAGACATCTCCAAAGGCCTCAGGGTAGAAAATTCTATCCACAAAGAAGAAAGATCTATGGAGTTTGAATGCAGATCAAAGCACACCATTTGCTAATTTTTTCTTCTGGTGTGTTTTGTTTCCTCTTTCTGGTGGTTCCTCCTATTGGTTCTAATTCTTACTTACAACATCACTAATATGAAAAATATTTAATAGGAATGTGTATGTATAGCCTATATCAGATTGTGTGCCATCTTGGGGAAAGAGATGGGGAGAGAGGAGGAGAAAAATTTTAAACTCAAAAGCTTATAGAAGTGATTGTTGATAAATCAAAATAAATTAGTAAAGTTAAAAAAATCAAATCCTTACCTTAAAAAGAATTAGAGACTTCAACCCACTCACTCAATTCTCACTTGGCCTAATATGAAAAAGGATACAAGACTTGACTAATTCCACTATACCTACTACATATATTCTCTTTTTTAGTCATGAGCCTTATATCTTGTATTGATTCTGATTAATGAGATATGAGTGCTTTTCATACAATGTAAAAAAAAGTCATTAAAAGGGTTTTTTGTTCTTCACTTCTTATTGTTTCATGCCACCATGTGTTAACAATCTTAAAATCATTTAGAATCATGAAAATATGTTATGTATGTATATCATGTATAGAATGTTAAAAACCAACCTATATTTGACATCAAAAGCATGTAATAGGAGTGAATAGTATTTTCTTCAACTCTCACCAAAGAAAGTTTATTTTAATGCCACACTGAGAAAAACATAAACTTAAATTTTTCATATATCCTCAACAAAGTATTATCAGAAGAATAAATGTCAAAAGCCCTTTAAGCTTACAACTCATCATATGGTGTTATTCAATTGACCTCATCCTAGCCCAGTATCCTATTCATAGAGACAGAAAAAAATGGACTGCTACTTGTCATCAATGTTTCTGAAGAAAAATACTCACAAAAATTTTCCATTTGTTTTTGACCCTATTAAGACAATCTGTTCAGACTCAAGCCGAGAGATCTTCCCATGGAACCATGGCATCTTCTCATGAGCAGTGGTAGCAATCAACTTCTCCAGTTGTGGTTTTTGACTAATAATAGCTTGTTCAAGAGCTTGACCCTGTCAGGAGAGAGGAGTATGATAAGATAGATTGCCTTTCATCATCCTAAGATATTCATTTTTTCATCATCAGAAAGGAAATATAAAGAGAATTATTCATATTACTACATTTTAAGAATTCTTTATTTCAGCCACAATGTACTCCTGTCTATCTCCAACTGAATAATCTCTTAATAGTCCCTTGCCTCCATGCTTGCTTGCAAGTAATTCCTCCAATTTACTCTTCATTGCCATCTCTCAAAATCATTGTCTTTTTTTCCAGATTCAACTCAGGTAATCCATTAAGCCATCGTTCATCCCACCATCTCCCATTCTCCTCCATTTATTAGTATTCTATCTCTGCTCAATTTTCTTTGTACTATATTTGTTTCTATACATGTCTGTTCCTTCAACAGAATGTCAGCTCTGAACAGGGACTATTGCATTTTTGCTTTTGTGTATTCAGCACCAAGAATATAGAAGGTGCTTAATTAAAGGTTTATTGGACTGAACTGAACATTATAAATCAGGAAAAAAATTTTTTCTAGTTTTCTGGAATTAGTCTTAAGACCTAAACAAGTCTATGATTCAGTGAATAAGATCAGTACAACATAGTGGACAAAATCTTGCTGCATTCTAGTGTATTCCTTCTATTGACTATTTCCTAATTATCTTGTTTATACCTTGCTTTTTATATATTTTTTGCATGTTGTCTTCCCCATTAGATTATATGTTCCTTGAGGGCAGGGATTATTTTTGCCTCTTTTTGTACTCCCAGGTCTTTATACAATACCTGGCCCATATTCTTGGAATGTATTCCCTACTCATTTCTACCTCATAAATTCTCTCTTACTTTAGATGCAGCTCAAGTGACATCTTCTGCCTGAAACCTTTCCTGATCTCACCAGCTGCTAGTGCCTTCCTTTACAAGTTTTTTTTAATTTAACTACTGTATATCTTTGTATTATGGATTCACTTTATATCTCCTCTATATATTTGCAAATATCCTTGCTGTCTCCCCCATTAGAATACAAGCTTTTTGTAAGGAGGGAGTTGCACTGCTTACGCTTGTATTACTAGAACAGTACAGTGCCTAGCACTTCATAAATGCTTATCAACTGATTGAAGAATGGGGTGATATAGTCAGATTTGTAATTTAGAAGTTCAATTTGACAACTGAATGGAAGATGGATTGTATTGGGGGGGGCATGAGGTGGTGAGGGTCTACACCAGGATAGTCTCAGTGTCAGAGGAGAGAAGGAGATATGAGAGATAGGTCAAAGGTAGAATCCACAGAATTTGGCAAATGATTGTATATGGGAGGAGGTGACAAGAGTGAAGAGTTGAAGATGACAACTAGGTTGTAAATTTGAATGATTGAAATTTGGCAGTACCCTTGACAGAAATAGTAAAGTTAGAAATACAAGAAGACTTAGGAGAAAAAAAGAGAAGGAGTTCAGTTTTGGATATACTGAGTTTAAGACACCTATAAGACATTCAATTTGATACGTCTAATATGTAGGTGTAGATGCTGGAGACATTGGGAAAGAGGTCAAAACTGTACAGAGATGATAACTGAAAACAGAGGAGCAGAAGAGATCACCATGTGAAACAGTATAGAGGGAAAAGAAAATAGGGCTAAGAACAAAGTCATGGAAAACATTCACAGTTACCCTGCGTGACATAGATAAAGCTCCAGAGAAGGCAAACAAGTACAGTAGACTCAGGAAAGAGCAGCATCACAAAAAACACTAACGTGGAGAGAGTATCTAGAAGAAGGTGATCAACAGTGCCAAAAGCTGCAGAGAGCTTCAGGCTACAGGAATTAAGAAAAGCCCATTAGATGTGGCAATTAAGAGATCATTGGTAAATTTAGAAAGAGCAGTTTTTATTGAATGATGGGATTAAAGAAGTCAAAAGTCAGACTGCAGGGAGTTAAAAAGCGAGTGAGAGGAAAGGAAGAGCAGGCATTATAGATTATAGATGGCCTTCTCAAGGAGTTAAATTACAAAAGAGAGAAGAGATATGGAATGACAGATCAAGTGAGGGTTTTTTTAAAAAGAGGAGACTTGGACATGCTTGTAGTCAGTAGGAAAATAAACAGTAGACAGGAAGTGTTTGAAGGCTGGTGAAAAAATAGAGATGATAGGGGGAAATCTGATAGAGAAAACGGAATGGGATCACCTCTTCATGTAAAAAGGCTTACCTTAGATAGAATAAGATCATTTCTTCATGTGAAATGGGGGTGGTAGAGGTAATAGTATTAGAATGCATCCGACTGATGAGATGAAGAAAAGAAAAATTCCCCAAGAACAGCTCAATTTTTTTTCAGTAATATATTGAGGCAAGGTTCTCAGCTAGATTAGGGAGTTTGAATGAAGTTGAATGAAGTTTTCAAAAAACCCCTGTGGGGAGTAGGATAGTGAGTAGATTAAGGAGGTATAAAAGGATTGCCTTGCTACAGTAAGGACCCAGCTGAGGTTATATAAAAAAATATATAGTGGACCCAGTTAGCAGTTTCATCATTTTGTCTAGCTTTGTTCAGCAGCAGGTCAGTAGGATAAAGGTCACAGATGGTAGGAGTAAGGCAAGGCTTGGGTTTGGGTTTGGAAGAGAAATTTTTCAACAGGAAAATGCAAGAGATTAGAGAAAAGAGGACCATGTGGGCAGGCCAGGTAAGGATGGTGAAATAGCAGGAAGCAGTACAGCCAGCTCTCCACCCCACAAACACTCTCTTAAGCAGATTTTTGAAACTCACCAGACTGAATTCTGATCTAGAAATCAAAGAAAAATCACAGGTCATTTTTTCTAGCCCAGACAGACAAAAGGAGACTGACAGAGGGCCCTAGAGACACTAGAGACAGGGTCTAGAGAGGAGTTTGACATGTATGGAGCACTCCAAAGCAAGGAGAAGCTGTGCACCAGGGAAAGGGGAGGTCCCAGATTCATACTGAGGCACCTCCAGACCCATATTAGGGCACCACAATGTGAAGAGTTGCCGAACGCAGTTTTGATTCCCATTATTCAGTTCTGGAACTCAGATCCAGGACTGATTGAGGAGGTAACTGTGCCTAAGGGTGGTTTTTTAGTTCAAGGTAAGGAGCAAGCCACAAAAGTGAGGCTCAAATCCCAAAAGCAGAGCGGAGTCTCAGTTTCAGTTTCTAGCTCTGCATGAAGCCTGCAGAGGAATAACCAAGGTGCAACAATTAGAAAAAAAAAAAGGGAGCCAGCAATTCTATCATTGAACTAGCAGAACTTCCCAGCTGTCTGATAGTAGCTGAGCCTAGTGGAACATACTCTTGTACAGATCCAAACCCAGGTCAGGTACTTGGTAAACTCAGACAAACAGTATGGAGAAAGTGTAACAATCTGAAATTTTCTTGGATCGTCCGTTTGTACAAAAGCTTTTTAATTTAATAGAATTAAAATTCTTCTTTTTCTTTGGAATATTTTCTGTTGCTGCCTCTTACACAGTATTGCAAACCTTTGTCCACACTTCTTTAGGCACTCTATCAGATCTAATCCCTTAAATCTATTCATCACTTCCACTTCACATTTATAAGGATGCTATTTAGGTCCTACCTATATGGCCTAATGGTTTTAATTTCTTTTTTATTGCTATAACTAGAAATGCTAGCTATAGCAGTAAAAAGAAAAAAAGAAATTGAAGGAATAAGCATAGGCAATGAGGAAATACAACTTTTACTTTTTGGAAATATGGTTTACCTAAAGAACGCTAAAGAGTAAACAGAAAAACCACTGGAAACAATTAACAATTTCAGCAAAGTGGCAGAATATAAAATAAACCAATACAAATATCAGAATTTCTATACATTACCAACAAAATCCATCAGAAAAAGACAGAAAGAAAAATTCCATTTAAAAAAACTGAAGATAGTATAAAATACTGGGGACTCTATCTGCCAAGACACATAGGAACTATACGAACACAATGATAAAACATTTCAAACAAATAAAGACATCTAAATATGGAGAAATATTAAATGCTCATGGGTAGGCTGAACAATGATAAGATTACCCAAATTAATTTACTTATTCAGTGTCATACTACTCGAATTACCAAAGCATTATTTTATACAACTAGAAAAAATAATAACAAAATTCATCTGGTAGAACAAAAGGCTGAGAATATTTTTTTAAAAATCAAAGGAAGGGGGCCTAGCAGTACCAGATCTCAAATTATGCTATAAAGCTAATCATAAAAACAATTTGGTATTGGTTAAGAAATAGAGAGATTGATCAGTAAAAAAAGATTAGGAACATAATAACAAATGAACACAGTAACCTACTATTTGAAAAACTCACAGTTCCAAGCTATTAGGGCAGGAATTCAACATTTAAAAAAATGTAGGGAAAACTGTAATCTGGCAAAAAACTAGGCACAGACAAATATCTCACAGCATATACCAAGATAAGCTCAAGATGGATGCATGATTTAGCCAGCACTTCTTAAACCCCATTTGGGGTCACAACCCACATTTTAGGAAGCATCAAAAGGGTTATGAGTGGAAAAAGTTTAGGAAGCCCTGATTTAGACATAAAGGGTGATATTATAAACAAATTAATAAAGCAGGGAAGAAATTACCTGTCAGACTATGACCAAACAAGATATAGGAAGGGTCAAAAAAGGAAAAATGGATAATACTGATTATATTAAATTTTAAAATGTTTACACAAATAAAACTAATACACCTAATATTAGAAGAAATAGGAAAATGTGAAAAATATCTTTACAGCCAACTTCTCTGAAAAAAGTCTCATTTCTCAAATATAGGGAAGTGAGTCAAATTTACAAGAATAAGAGCCATTCCCATCAAAGTATATGAATAGAAAGTTTTCAGAGAAAGAAATCAAAGCTGTTCATAGTCATATGACAAAATGCTCTAAATCACTAGTAATTAGAGATATGTGCATTAAAACATCTCTAAGATACCACTTCACACTCATCAGACTGGTTAAGATGACAAAAAGTAAAATGACAAATGCTAAAGAGGAAGTAG